TTCAAAGAATTTTTTGGCGTCCAACCTTTACAGTTTTAACATGAAAGATAATTATGATATTTTTTAATTCAATGCCAGAAATATCGAGAAGATTAATCTCCCTATGTGGTCTGAATTCAACAGTTTAATTACATTAATTACAGAATAAAACTTGCTTCTAAAATCGGACATTATTTTCCGAACAGACGAAAAGATATACCAAATATTATACAGTGAAAATTACAGATATATATATATATATATATATATATATATATATATATATATATATTAAACAATAAAAAAATATTAAAAATTAAAATCTTCAGACACACTGGGTTGTAGATTAATATCCTTTCGTTTTTTTATTGTTTCATTTAGATTCCTCGACTAGTTTCAGCCAAAATGGCCATCATCGGGAGAAGAAATATTTCTGCTTTCTGGTAGCAGTGAGCTACAGAAATGAATGTCTTGATGGAGAAAATGAACTTTTGTCTGTAGTTTTCATTTGTTTTTTTATTTTTTTTATCTTTTTAACATGAATCTTTTAACATTCCTTGTGTTGGTCAAACAGTCTCTTTTAAGTTGTTATTTAAGATAAGAGCTGGATGGATCTATGCTTCCCTGAATTCCCTTGGTCAGTTTGACAGTTTTATTGGACCTGGTGAGGGGATGTGTCTCTGTTTAGTGTTTGTGTGTGTGTTATTTGGTTCTTAGGGAGTGAGTGAGTATGATATGTGTAAGCGTGTGTATTGCTGTGGGTGTGTATTATCATTTGGCTCATTAGGGAGTGAGTATGATGTGTGTAAGTGTGTATATTCGTGTGGGTGTGTGTATAAGTGTGAGCATGTCTGTCTTGTGTGGGTGAGAAATGTGGGTAGGTTTTGATTTGTTGAGTTATATATTGGTACTATCTGTATTGTTAAATTTATGATTTAGCCCGGCTGGGTATTTTGTTTTTAGACGTTGTATCCACTTATTTTCATGGGACTGTAAAATCTTCCTAATGTTATCTGCTCTGAACTTTTATATATATATATATATACTTTTATATATATATATATCGTAATTTTTATTATAATAGATTATAATAAAAATATTTTTAAATCACTACACAAAAGCTTTCATGTTTCAATACTATGATTGTACTTCTTCAGGCGATGGTAAGTAACTGGCGATTAAATGATTTTTCATGAAATTTAAAAACAAAGCGTTACCTCTTTTTCGAAAGTTAAAGTTGGGACATAACGCATTGAGCAGATATGAATGTACGTGAGAGATTCAGGGAAGATTGTAGTTTAAAGACAGCAAAATCGACCTTGCTAACCGAACGTTCCTCTGTGGCCAAATCGGTTAAACGCACATCAGGCTATATGACGATTCCGTATAGGATACAGGTTTGATTCCTGTCGGGGGACGAATATTTTCTATGAAAATTTCTCGGACATTCAGGCCGCTAAATAGATATCGATAGAAATAAAAAATCGAAAAATATAAGCCGTAAATTGTTGATAACCCTTGAAGAGTGAAGGGACAGGTCCGCCTACGAAATTGTGGATTCAGTTTGTTGAAGGTAACATCAATCAGCTAGGTGACAAACTTTTATTCATATTAATTCTCTCTCTCACACACACTTCCTTCCATCTCTTAACAACCTTACTAATTCCATTACTGTAAAATTCTTTTTGCTTTGATTCAAAGAACTCACAAATATCAGTTTTAACCTCTTCCTCTGTTACAAAAGCTGTTTCTTCCAAATGATTCTGTAAGCTACGAAACAAATAGTAGTCTGAAGGAGCAAGATCGGGAGAATAAGGTGGATGAGGAATTTTCTCCCAACCAAGTTCTTCGATCTTTTGTGACGTGATTCTTGCTGTGTGGGGTCGCGCATTGTCCTGATGAAACATCACCTCTTTTCGATTCACTAGAGCAGGTCTTTTTTCCTCAAAGCTTGGTTCAAATTCTCTAATTGCTGACAGTATATTTGAGCAGTAATTGTTGCATTAGGTGGTAGGAATTCAAAGTGGATTATTCCTTGGCGATCCCACCAGATTGAAAGAAGAACCTTTTGCCCATGAAGTTCCGTTCTCAGCTGTGACTGGGATCCTTCCCCTTTACCAAGCCACTCTCTACGACGCTTAACATTTCGATAAAAGATCCATTTTTCGTCGCCAGTCACAAGTCTATCCAAAAAAGGTGAAACAAGTTGGCGAGAATGGAGAGAAGAGCAGATGTCAACTCGGGATTTGAGGTTGTTTTCAGACAATTCATGAGGCACCCATTTTCCAAGTTTAGGAACTTTTCCAAGTTGTTGAAGATGACGATGAACAGTTGAATGGTTTGATCTGAGAACCACTGCCAATTCCTCAACTGATAAAGTAGGATTTTCTTCAAGGGCTGCTTCAAGAAGCTTTTCATCAAACTCAACTGGACGTCCGGTTCGAGTTTCATCTTCAAGGGTGAAATTTCCACCTCTGAATTTTGCAAACCATCTTCTGCAAGTTCTTTCATTCACACATTC